AGCATAGGTAACTAACTATTATGCCCCTATACTAGGTTAATGCCGGGCGGGGAGGAGTGGGGACGGGGCACCTAGTTTCGATCGAACTTGGGCTGCAAAATATATACCAGGGGAGGAGTCGGATGTTCCTGCGAATTGACCGCGGAAGCCTGCTGTTTCAGACCAAACTTGCTTTAGGGTTCAGGGCTGGAGGGCTTAAGCTTGGACGTTAGGCTTTTGGGGTTTTAGGGTTTAGGCTCTTGGGCTGTGGGGCTTTGCGGCTTTCGGAGGCTTAAGCCTACAGTAGAAGCCAGAGAGTTGGAAGATCGATATCCTCATGCCCCTAAGGTAAGTTATAAGGAATCCCAGCACGAATTATTCCCAAATTCATGTTCCAACTTTCTGGGGTTCACGGTAAACCCTAAGCAACCAGGCTAGGATGCCCAGTAACCTAGGAGTAACAAGGGCTCCCTTTTTGGTATTGGGTAGCTTTATAAGGAACCTAGGACTACAAAAAGGGAATAAGGGTACTACTGGGCATCCTCCTAGATTAGAATAGGGTTTTGCGGTATATGATACCATAACTGCAATAAGAAACCCCCAAAATAGTACCGTATGATATCATAACTGCAATAAGAACCCCCCAAGATAGGACCGTATGATACCATAACTGCAATAAGAAACCCCCGAAAAATAGTACCGTATGATACCATACCTGCAGTAAGAAACCCCCAACATAGTAACGTATGATACCATAACTGCAATAAGAAAAACCAAAAATAGTACCGTCCCCCCAAAATAATACCGGATGATACTATAACTGCAATAAGAAACCGCTCAAAAATGATACCATACTTATTTGGGTCTCTATATAGGGCTCGAAGGAATCCTTCCCCTCGCCTCTGGCAGCACACCTGCCAGCAGCTCGAGGCAAAGGGCTCCGGCTGTGGCATCGGGGGCGGCGCCGTGGTGCAGCGCACCTGGCTTAGGGTTCTGAAGTTTTTAGCATTTTGGGGTTTAGGGTTTTTTGGGTTTATGTTGAGGGCTGATTAGGGTGTAAAGGGCTCTTGAGGTTTAGGAGTTTGCGTTGGGGTTTTGGGCTTATAGGGTCAGTTCAGGGCTGAAATGTTTTAGGGTTCAGAGGGTGTTTGCTGGGATTGCCGACTGAGTTTCTGAGGCTTCCGCAAGCTCAAGGCTTTACAGGGTTTACGTATCCCTATCCCCCAAAAGGCATCAAA